AGAGTCGGTTATCAAGACCAAGAAAATTACCCAAATTTGATATACCATTATGGAATGTTAACACAAACACTTTGCAAGGTCAACATCGCACGAATAATGTCGTGGAGGGGTGGAACAATAGATTTTCATCCTTAATGAATTGTAGTCACCCAAATCTTTGGAAATTTTTAAAAGGTTTAAATATTGCTAGAAGTTCTAAAATACTATGAGTTAAATCTTATCTCGTGGACATTCAGGTAATAGAAATTAAGAAGAGCGCAGTCAGAAAGTAATTTCGGCGCATGTAGTGCAGGAAGAAATGTTTACAAAATGGCATTATCAGCCCTGGATAATTGATTACTCATTAATAAATTTGAATCAATTCGTCGTCTATTTCCAAAGTAAAGTTAAATAATATTTATTGTTTTTTACATCTACATACACAAATACAGAATGACTAAAAGGTAGTAATCGTATATTTATTACAGTGGCAGCAAAAATTGAGCGTTCACTTTCATTTTTCTCCTCGATCATAACAGCTAGAACATATCTGAAAAAAGATTTGAACAACTGAAAGAGTTCATAATGAGATGAGGTGTATATGAAAATTCCATTAAAATTCTTGCAAACAAGGTACCGGAAAAACCAAGATTTTAGAAAATCCAAAAGATCAAGTCCGGGAATTCCAACGGAAACGTTTTGTAATCTTTTATAGAAGGAAAAGTCACAGAATAAAAATTCTTTCGCCATTAAATCGGCCGTCACTCGAAGTATATGAAACACTATTTAAATTACGAAAAAGCAAACTCACTGTTTTTTTCTAAATTTTCACCTGAATGCGCTTGTGCCTAGCGAAATAGTGATCGCAGCACAAATTATTTAATTTCTCTAACTTTCTTACATATTGCGTAGACAGTTGAAAGTAATTAGTGATTTCTTCCAAGAATGGAGTTATAGTTATAGTGTTGGTTCTAAATCGTTGCTTGTGATCGATTAGGTTCTGTGAGGTATATTCGACTGAAAGCACTTTGAATGGTCGGAATCATTGAATATGATGATCGGATGTGTTTCTGTTGAGTTTCATAGCCATTGAAGGGCTAAAGTTAGTGGACCGAGTTCACGATGCGAACTCCACCTTTACAAGTATCCTCTTTAACATAGAAGAATACGGTAAAAACGAGATGTTTAAGCAAAATAACATTATATAAACATTACTCTTTCAGATTTTGATGTGAAGAAAGTGACATAATTGAATTATTTTCTCATAATATACATCCAACATGGGTAATGGGTTGTCGCGTCATATACGGTATAGAACCCCCCTAGATGAAAGCAGCGTACGTGCAAACCCTACACGTGTACTATCAATTAGGAATTGGAATGGTAGACACACACCAGTGGATTCAGCATATATATACGCTCTGCAGTCTGCTACAGATAACAAAAAAGTATTTATTAGTTGCACTCCGTTCGATCAAATAGCCTATGAACAAATCAACACCTTACTTGCTAAAGTAGAAAATTGTATAATATTTTCGACGGGTATCGGTAATTATTTTGATATTCTTGATGAAATTGATTGTTTTATACCTTGTCTTAGTGCTTATTATTATGATGATCGTCAGTGTCAGGGTGAATTCACGTATGCTGTCAAAGGAAAAGTCAAGATCATACCAATTAGCATTCAAGACAATGTGACTAGATTCATGCCAGACTGGATACAAATAGGTTTACATCTGTCGGATATCTTAACACTCTCCAAGTCCCAATCGTCTCTACTCAAGAGACTGCAGAAAGAATTTATCGAAGTGCAGAAAAGGAATGAACAAGAAGACTTTCATATCAGCCATTATCAGAGATCGAACCCTACACTCATGACTCCAGCTCTTTCCTTAAAAAAACGTTCAGCTGACAATCATCGTTACATTAGTGATCCCGATAATCTTGAATGGACTCTAGTTTTCCATGATCCAGCTAAGAAACGTGCTCAATTTCATAAAAGACTCAATAAAACTAAGACTGAACCAAAAATTCGTAGAATGTTGACCGGTATTATGTCATACTATATCAAACTAAATCAGTTCACACCAACAGTTGGTTCATTCTTTCGTCATGCAATCGAACAACAGAATCTGGCATATATTCTGAAAGCCTATACAAGTGTAACGAATTTTTCTGGGATATTGAACAGACATTTAGCAGCCGATTCGTTAGCTTATTTTACACCTACCCTTGAAATTGGCATGGATTATAGCCGCCTAAAATGCTTGATTGATTATATTGCACTTGTTATGGAATACACTAATTACAAAGAAAATATCTATAAGGATATTGCATACCGTGGACTGGTATTGGCAGAAACAGATCTCTACAAGTATGTTGTCGGTACAAAGATTCTGAACACAGCGTTTTTATCGACTTCTAGAGACAGGCACGTGGCTGAAATGTTTTCTGATAATACGGGAAGTGATAGAATATCAGTTCTTTGCACGTACAGAATTAAAAATGATCGGACTGCATTGGATCTTACGCCAATTTCTGAGGTACAAGATGAACAGGAAGTACTTATACTACCGTTTTCAGCATTCTATGTCAGACGAGTGGTCAAGAGTAGTAAACCCACACTTAGACAAAGAATAGAGATGGAATTAGAAGAATGCGATGAAATACCAATGGCCGCAATTGAGAATGAAGATGAAGACAATCTAGACATATACACAAAAACTCGTCTTTGATATAAAGCTTACCAAAACCTAATGAAGATTATTGAAATAAAAACGCCCTGAGACTTTTTTCTTTATACTGCAAAGTATCACAAGGTGAGGATCTTTCATGTGCTTCTTTTACCTCTTAACATACAACATATAAGATGAGAATGGTGGATAGCGACATGATGAGAGATAAGGTGAAAAGCGACAACCGTGAAAATATTTTTCTGCAGAAAATATTTCCTCAGAATTCTGCACAAAAGCTCTCACCGAGTTTAAGGCATTCCCCTAGTGAGGTATGTAAAATTGATGTCTCGCGGTTCCCCTCTGTAATTAAATTTATCACAGCTAAGATAACGTTTCCTGTATGTAAAAAATACATTTACGCTCCGGTTTTCAACGAGTGCATATCCGTAAATGCATCGCACTGATATTAGTTCATTGCCAGAGCCATCCCACCATCATGTAATTGAAGCTTGACATTAGAGATCTACACAGGCAAGATTTTTCTGCCAGCGCGCACCCATGCCCATAGACCTATTTGGATTGTTTGTCTATCCCGGTCCGCGACAGTGGGGTAAAACAAGCATTTATTTCACCCTGATATGCCGCAAGAATAACACATTTTTTGTAACCGCTTCCATCGAATATGTTTGAAGAAAAATTTGTCGCACTTTTGTTGTCCTTTTCGTAGCAGCCTTCTGTTTACTTCTCATTGCAGTCTTATTCAAACAAATTAAAATAACTGGTTCCAGTGATGGCATTTCAAATAATATCTTTGCACAAATTTCATTCGCATACCAAAATATTCGCATAAAAAAAACTACACACTCGCTCATCAATGTGTATGCCTACACATATGTGTAGGCGTTTATATATCACTGTAGTGATGCACAAAAAATGATTACAGTTTCTTTCACAAATAGAAATTAGGAATAGTTTGTATTTAGAAAAATGCAGCTACAAAATAAGCTATAGTATTATTCCGGGTCTCGCTGTATTTACACCACTGTGTCTTGTTCACTGTTCTACCATAGGTCAAAACCACCGTATCTGTTCGGTATTTTGCCAAAACGTCTATTAAACTTAATGTTTGACACAACGTACTATAGCTTATTTTGTAGCTGTACTTTTCTAAATATAAACTATTCCTCATTTCTATTTGTGAAAGAAACTGTAACGGTTTTTATATATCACTATGCGTAAAAATCGGGATATCTATCCAGTATTTAGCCAAAAAGTCTAAATCTTTCTATATACAAAACATTCCGGTTCTGAGTAAAAGCGTCAAAAAAGTATTCCTTTAAAGTGTTAGGATAGGTGAAAATCAGGATATCTGTCTAACATTTCGACAATTGTTCTATATGATCATAGTTTTGAGACGCTTGTCTATAGCTCATTTTGATACGCAGAAAATTCTGTCTTTCTATGTATGGGCTTTGGTCAAGGTCGTTGAAATCGTGCGAAAAATTTGAGGAACAAAGTGAATGGCCTTCGTTGAACTAGTGACGAAAAATAATAATAAGTAGTTTTTTCAACGAGATCAGGAGCAATTTTTACAAGTTAGAAGTGTTGAAAAGTGAAGCATTCCTGTTCATCTCCACTCAAAATCATATTGGGCCATTTTATAGCAGAGACCGTTTCCTGTCCTATCTCCTCGATGGTGTAATATTTCAGATTTATCCTTTTACCAAATATCAGAGTGCATGTAGTCACAACATGATCAAAGTGTGAGCTTGATCCGAGTATTATTTACGAGATATCGAAAAACAGAATCGAAGGTATCGTCGAACACTTTGTGAGAAAATTCCCCACTTCCAACAATACAATAGAATTTTCTGTACAAACAAAGGACTTATCAAATAATATTTTTCTACCAATTTGTTATGCAATCGACATATTGACAATCATTTTCAGTTTTTTCTTTACCTCGGCATTACGGTCTGACAACGCAGCGGACATAAATTCCATAGTGCGTCACACAGCAAATTTCACCTTTTTCCAACTAGATTTTACCTCTGTCTGCAGTCACATCATGTAGGATTGAAGCTGCAATCAACACTAATAAAAGTAACATTTAATTTGAATTTTTTGCAACAACTGCACATCATGTAAACATTGTCTTCTCGAATAGGCAAAAGTTTAATAAACATAAGAATGTAGCAGCAGTTATAAAATGAAAATAACTGTTATTACGTTCTTATGTTTATGGGCATCATGTGTGTTTAATTGTCGCAAATCACTTCTGTATTGAATGTCTTCTCTTCTAAACACAGATTTACTTTCTATATAAATGCAAGATAACTCGTAGTATCTTCTACTCGCTATAATGAATATAATATATTTAGCTACGTAACCGTTAATTGTAGTAGTATCCAGTGTGGATGCTCAATATTTAATGTGTGTACAATGCACGTGTACAACTGGGCCACACCGGACCCACATGCGCTACAGATGAGTATTTTATTCTGTTTTTGATAGAATTTAAAGACTTTGTAGTATCATTCTTACTCGATCGTTCCCAAATGAGTGTGTGAGAAGAGAGAGAGAGAGCGAGTGTGTCGAGTATCAAAATTTCCGGTTGAAAATTTTACCATTCAATGATTACAAAGTGTAGATAGTTGTTGTATAACCTGTACATTTGTTACTGAGGAAAAATGTGTCGTACAAACTAAGTCCAAACAAATCTAAGATATAGGTCTTATCACTTTTGGGACTAACTGATAAAGTCCATCATTAGCTGAAAATTAAAAATTCTAGCTATTTCAATAGGTTGTATTTTCAACTACTGCGTTTGATGATTCATAGTGTGCTCCATAAAACTACGGAAGAGGGATATCTCTGGCTACTATGGACCGCATAGACCTCGTTCGAGCAATCAAGATCAGTCCTTTTCACGTATGACTATTTTAAAAGGAACTGCGTTGATAGCTTTTCGTCTATAGATGGTGAACGGATTTATTTTGGCTCGTTCCACCGAAGGTTAAAAGATTGTCTTATGAACCTTCACTCAAACTACTCTAAGTTTTCAATACATAGTTGATTTTTCAGCTAAACATAGTTCTCCAGTTAAGATTAGAAAAAATAACATTTCCTTACTTGCAACCATTTCTCGAAAGGATTGCACCAGTCAAAGTACTTTCTATTCAAATTTCAAACTCAAATCTTCATCGATTTTGAAACTCTGTTATGAAAATGGCCAAAAGAAACTTAGGTTTTCATCACGTTCAGATTTTTCTCCTGAAAAGAAACATCGCCACGTTATAGAGCATAGTTGATAGGCTATGTCTGAAGTTGATTTCAGGCTAACGTACCTAACCGTACAGCGACAGACCAAAATAGCTGTATCTCCCGAATCACGGCAATGAGCAATCTCAGACTTGCGTAGAATTAATAAGAGGAGCTACCGATTACATTTATTACATTCAAAGTCCACTTTTGTTTCTATACTTGACTACCTCTTCTTTTTTCAGCCCTCAGACATATCGCGTGAAAAGGTGCGATTTTCCATATCTCATATATTAGTGGATAGCCCCATGATTTTACTTCAAAATAGTAGAAACTCGAAATTCGTATTATGTTTTTCTGCCAAGTCGTTTAAAAAGAGAAAAAATGCACTATATTTTGAAATGCGTAGTAGAATCCTGCTACGATCCGTTTAACAAGGTTTGTCTGCCATCCTAAAAGAATCCTAGGAAATTTTACGCCTTTGGGGTGCTGCCGACTAAATGTGGATTTGTCTAGGATCTGGTGAGAAAAATTCGTAGGCCTTTTTCGCTGTTTTGCTTCTGACTGGCGCGCAATAGTGAAACTGTTGAAGTCTTGATGGTGTCTTTCAGGATGAGGGTAGAGAGTAGTAGTTCAGTCAGGGCTCGGCTGAGGTTGAAGGTTAAGGTCATCGGCATTAATTCTTACGCTGAAATTTAGAAAATAGCGGATATTGTGTGCAGGGATTTGACTGTTTTTCTACTCATCTATAACTCAACTTTCGAGTCCGCACTCAATATTTCACGCCCAGGTAGTGAGTGGTAAGTTTTATTGACCTTTCCTGTAACGTTTGACAAGAAATTCTTTTTTACTATTTTCCGAACGAAGATCTCATGCCTGTATTTTCGATAGAAACAGAGTTATGGAGGAGGGTTAAATAGCAGCATATTTGACACAACTGTTTACGTAGATGACGAATATTACATTTACTTGTATGTAAAGAAGTTTTGGGTGGAGAAATTCGACAAATATAGGTCAAAATGTGCCTGATTTCTGGACTTTCTCAAGTTTTATGTAGTAAGACATGATCAAAAAGGCATGTTTAGAAAGAACACATAAAACTAACTACATGGAGACGTTTGGACATCTGAACGAGACTTTGAGATGGATCCAAGAGTGAAACGTTTCGTGTGAGAAGTCAAAAATGCCAATTTGAAGGTCATAACACGTTTTCTGCATGAAGTTTCCGGCTAAACTCGATACCAATCGACGCATTCGATTTCTCTCACCATTTTCTATAGCAGATATTTGTATGTCAGACATAAGGATACATACACAAATGAGAGAATAATTTGCATGCGACATTACGAAAAAGATAAAGATACGCTCAATGAGAAAAATCTAATATAAAAATAAAAAATAACGTAATTCTTTTTAAAGAGGGTGAGAAAACAGAGCATCACAAACAAATGTAGATTGAGATAAAAAAACGTTCTTATTTCGTGGACTTTTTCGTTTTTGAGCAACACAACTTCATCGAATGAAAGTTACAAATTTAATCTAAAACAAAATAGAATTTTCGTCGACATTTCTCACACTTCTCTTCTGTTTCCACATTGATTATGTCACTGAATGCTTTATTCATTAGTTTCACAATTTAATCTATAAACAAAATCATGGAGAGCTGACAAAAGAGTACGAGAAATAGTTCTTTCAAGAGTAAGTCTGTAAAAATGCCTTTTCTCTAGTAGGTGATTTTCTTTGATGCGTTCGTTGCAGGCAGCTCTGATTCATCCCAAACCGACTTTCGAAACTACGCT